GGGTCAGGAGAGGTCTGCCTCGCCATGTGGTCACCATATATATATATATATATATAATAACAGGAGAAACTGGGAAGAATGGGAACTTACTGCTCAATTTTTCTGTAAACCTGAAAGTGCCCTAAAACATAATCTACTAATAAACAACCTTAACAGTACATTTAAAAAATAGATTGTAGTCGCAATAATAAATTGTGCCCCCCAAACAAACCAAACCCACCCAGACGACTTCTGTTACATAATCTGAATCTGCTCCTTCCCCTGCTGAATCTGTGAAAGCAGCACCTGCAGAAACCAAGGCCAGCTACATTTATTGAATAAAACTTAAGTGTAAGTAAAAAAAAAAAAAAAAAAAGGCATTTGTAGCCAAAATATTAAAAGCAGGCCTGTTGAAGGGGAAGTGATGCAATTTGGGGTGAAAATTAAATTTGGGGATTTGGAGGGGATGTGGCTACATCCATCTGAAGGTTGTGAGCTGAGAGCCCGGGATCACCTACAGTGTTCTAAACCGGTTACCTCAGCAAACGAAGAAATAAAAGCAAATGCATCACCAAAAGAAGTGGCGTAAGGAAAAGGATTAGCCTAAGGTTTCATTTTCCTAGGATCCCACTGAGAGCACAATCTCTTGAGGAAACAGAGCTCCAGCTCTTTCCAACATCTCAGCACCCAGGCCAGGATTCCCCAGAATGCCAACTTCCAACCTCAAACCAGACCTGCTGGCCAGCTATTTCCCGGCTCCTCTGAGGGTCGCAGGGGCTGTCAGTTCAGCACACACTTCCCTCTGGCCCAGAAGCAGCCAGGGCAGTTCATCAGGGCTGATCTATGACTAATTTGTGGGTTTCTTTTTTAAAAAAAAAAGATTTATTTACGCATACAGATCTGGGATACAAGTCAGAGGTGCAGGGGCGGTGAGAGGATTCACCAGAGGCAGAGTGGGGAGCAGAACAGGCAGAATGACGAAGTACACTGCTGAGGGGAGCAGCGGGCGGGTCAAGAGAGGCCTGCGGTGCCATGTGGATCTCCTCCCCCGCTGGGGATCGAACTCCCACTGGAGCAGCTGCAGTGCTGCGTCTTAACCTGTTGCACCACCAGGGAAGGCCTGATTTGTGGGTTTCTAATTCCCCAAGTAATTGGAAGAAATACATCCCAAGATGAAGCCTTGCTCTCCTGCTCTCCTCCAATGCTGCTCACCCGGGAACTGACCCTCACCAGTCAATTTCGGTTTCCTAGCAAGTGCTTTGACTGAACACGAATGTGAAGACTCAACCTATTTCAAAATACTTTTAATAAAAGAATATTTTTGTAGTAAACTAGAAACTGAAGGGAAAAAAAATACATAGAGGGAACGCTAACGGCAGACCCAGGAGAATTAATATGTACAATTGCTTTCTCTGCATGAAAACCAGTTTGTGAAAATTGAAATTTAAACCACAATGCTAAAATACTGTATGAGTCCAGAAGCCACCTGCTATCTATGAATATAATACTGTATTTAAAGTAATATTTGGAAATTTAGAAGTTTGGCATATAAGTATTGGAAAGGTAGTTCCCATTATAGTAAGATTATTTTTTTAAGTTAAATGTGACTACTTCATGATATGATCCAGTGGTGTATAAAATTTCTTCTACAGAAACAAAATATGTCTTTGGACCAACGCATAAAACAGTAGCTAAAATTTCCTTCATTGCCTACCACTCACATGATCATACTTATTAAATAGACTTTCCAACTCTCAAAATACTGTTCTTAGCTTTTGCAAATGTAGAGTTACTCATTTTGCAAATAAGAATTACTGATTTTTTTGAATTGCTTTTTGTCTAGCACTATTTTTTATATGTATGGGGGATTTTATTAATTGCAGCAAACTAAGAATAAGTAAATTTCTTAACAAAATCTAAAATAATTGGCCATATAATTCTTTTTTTTAAAGATTTATTTATTTATTCATACAGAACTGGGGTACAGGCCAGAGATGCGGAGGGTGAGAGGATTCACCAGGGACAGAGCCGGGTACAGAACAGGCAGATATAGAAAGTACACTGCTGAGGGGAGCAACGGGCGGGTCAGGAGAGGTCTGCCACGCCTTGTGGTCACCTCCTGGGCAGGCGGGGATCGAACTCATGAGGAAGTGGCTTAAGCTTCTTAGTGCTGCGCTCTAACCCACTGCGCCACCAGGGAGGGTCTACTATACTTCTTTTAAGATTACACAATGATACAGGAAAATGTGTCTACATACACATGGGTACATACATATGTATAGAAAGTAATTACATGTTTGCAGGTAAATATGCATGTATTGAATGCACAGGTATGTAAATGTATAGCATATATAGGTCTATGTGTATATATTAGTTTACCCATGAGTGTGCATGAAGGCAGGATAAAAGCCATAGTT